ATTGCAGCTCCTCATTATGACCACTGGAGGACAGTGAATGCTCAAGATTCAAGTTCATCTGTGTGAAGGTAACAGTACAAATGTTAGATAAACAATTATTGTGATTATAGAATTATAAAGGTTATTTCTTTTTAAAATCACATAAAAAAAGCAGATTCATAGAAAGCTATGCCGTAAAAAACTGCTTAAAGCATTATTATTAATTCGTTCTTGATTGTTTTGTTTTTTTACTATAGGAGTGTCCCCCCTTAGATTTGCCCCAGGGACACTGAGACACTGCCCCTGTGTTTCTTAGTGCAACCACTGAGACATTTTAAAGTGTATCAAGTACACCTAAAACTTGCATTTGTTTAAAAAGACAGCATGATAGATTCATAAGTGGTGGTATTTCTGATTATCAGCAGTTGAACAGCAGCATTAGTATTAGAGGCAGCTGTTAAATCATCGTTTCGTTCAATCAGTAAAAAAACAGATACAGGCATGAAATTCTCAAGAGCAAAAGCACATTTATATTTAGGCATGACTGAAGTCATGATCAAATATTGTCACAACAGGACATGAACTCATTTAAATACCACCCTCAAAAGATCCTGTACTAACAGGAAACAGCTGGAGAGGAGCAAGTCCCTGTCGTGGTTCTGAAAAGTTGACTTTGAATTAAAGGTTGAGTCAGCAATTCCAATACAATTCACTTTGTGGCAAATTCACTGAATATCACCTTCACTCCATTCCACTAGTTGCCCATTTTGTGTATGCGGTGAATAAAATTCCAGTGCTTCTACATGGCCCTGGCTCTGTACATGGAAAACACACAAAGTCGCTTAGACCAATCCACACAAAGCTAATCAACACTATTGTCCCAGACACATTCTTGCTTGTACACAGGACGAGGGGGTTGCATGGGAGGCAAGTGGGTCGTGTGAGAAAGAAGGATGGCAAATCTGGCACATGCTACTAACTAATTAGGCTAGCTAATTAAATGTCAGCTATCTTTCTCCAGAATCACAGACAGCATCTTTAAACAAGTTTTAGCTTAAAAGTTGCCCGAAAATGCTTATCTGGCAAAACCATATGCCACAAAGCTGCAATATATCTCTTTGTGCTGGCTAAGTCAATGAATGCCAGGGCATATTTCAATTACATTACTGTAACACGATCTGTATATTTTTGTTATTTACCTGATGATCATCAGATAAAATAATTGCCATGATGAAAATAGTTCAAGTAATAGTTTTTCAAGTACAGCCACAATAAAGTATTGAATTTTTTTTTTGACCTGATGGTGGCACTAGATGGAGAGGTAACTGGTCACATAAGTCAGTGGAAGTAATCCTTAAGGCATTGAGAGAGTAGCAACCCATCCAGTTTTGGGAGATTGTCAATCAAAGCCACAACTGACAACCTCATAGTGCCACTAAAGGAAAAGTCATTAGATTGCTATGATGATTTTCTGCATGGTTGGAAAAGTTCCAGGGTGCAGTTCCCTGAAGTACCTCCTGTATGGTCATGTGTTGTATTCTGTACTGATAAATCTTTTAGTCTTCAGGATGTATAGCAGAAATTTTGGTATCTGATTACCTGCAGCAACAAGCTAGCATCAATGCAGGACTTTCTTTTTCAATTTGTAAATACTACTTGGCGGGCACATGGATGACAGCTCTGTTGCCATTGGTGTGTGAATGTGTGTGTGAATGGATGAAACACAATGTAAAGTGCTTTGAGCACTACAAAGGTAAACAGACGCTATAGATAACCATGTGACTTACCATGTGCCGGAGGAAACACAACCCACAGATTTTATGGAAACATTTTTTGTCATGTTGAAGGGGATGGCTCTGTGGAAGGTCAGTGTGTCCCTCTCTGTGGTCCCAATTGCAATGATGCTTTATATGTGGTACAATGAGGATAAAGCCAATGTTTGTGACTTAATAAATTTTCCTTCGGTGCCACCATGAGGCTGGCATTTGTGGTTTTAAATCACAAGTTTCCACAGGTTTTTATTTTACTGTCATCAGATTTGGTACAGGCAAACATGGTGCTTACAGGATAATTCCTGTTGATACACAACCCTTTAACTTTTTATTTAGTGCCACCATGAGGCCAAAATGTGTCAAGTGCTTTAGTTTATGACTACATACTTGGAAAAATAGCATTGCAAAAGTAGCATCAGAATTATCAGTAGCAGTATTAGTTGCGAGAGCTGTAATAGTAGCAGTTGTGGTAGCAGTATTCTTTTCAATCAGCACTGACGTCACAGTTTGTACTCAACCGTGAACCCTTGGATTAAACAGAATCTTTGTGGAAGCATTGACTTTAGTTCCATAAAAAAGGTTACTGTGGCAGTCTCAAAAGAAGATGGTCCACATTCCACACACTTGTTTTCGTTACACTCTAAAATGTGAAAAGTTCAT